AGCAGGAATATTTCTTAACAGAAGTGTACTTTTTCTAAAAGTAATTACCAAATAAAGGTTTGAAAATAAAAAATTTTTGAATATTTAAATGAGAAGTAATAGTATGAGATTATTTAATCAAGCCGGGAGAAGAAAAGTTCAGAAGTTATCACCAAGTACTTTTTGGATTAATGGAACTCAGACCTACCTGACATTAGTGTCATGTCAGTGACGCAGTTACTTCATCACGACTAAACAAATTACATACAAACCTCAAAGCCAAATATTATCAAATGTAAAGATATATATATGGAAGATGGATTCACATGGGGAAACAAGAGGTGAAATAATTTAACAATCTTCACACAAATATATAGAACTGATAAGCCCATATGAAGAAACTCAGTGCCACTGTCACTGACCTTTTAGATCTTCACGTATCTGCTCTCTCAATAAAAGCTTTAACTAAGTATTGAACAGTGGCAGGAAAAAAGACCATCTCAGGAGTATTTTTAGGCTAGTATCATTATACTTTCTACTAGAATGCATGCAAATTTCTTTTTCCAAGGTGAATTGCAGGCACAGCTCCCCAAAATTTTGTACAACTTTTTTGAAATCTGTGTTTGGCAAGAGCTGTCCCTTCACCCTGCTTCAGATCTAACCAGCGCTTAAGTATCAAAGACAGATTTGCATTTCAAAAGGCAATTAAAAAAACATACTGTAGTGAGGCACTGATTAAAAAGTCTTGTGGCTTTACATAAATTAGGCAGCTCCTTCGACTTTCCCTAGTTCAAATCCATCATCATAATGGCAAAAAACTACATGCTATAGGGACTATCTGATCACCACCCCATCTCCCTCTGCCACCCTGATGCTTGTGTGCTCATGTCCTTGTTTTAAAGACAGCAAGCAAAACCACTTTTACAAATACATGAATTATTTCCCCAAATCCAGTTTAGAGCCTGATAGCATGCCTAAGCTTGTACAGTGAGAGGAAGCAAAGAAGGAAGGAAAACTAGTAACAACAACCTCAACCTTCATTTCCTCCAAGGAATCAAAATGTGGAAATCACACACTGAAGAGAAAAGAGAAATGCAAGTATCCTGAAACTACCTATTATTAAAGAACCCTGACAAATTTCTTGCTGTTTGCAATTTCTAAAAATCAAATATTTAGTCTCATAGAACAGTAAACAACTTACCAGCAAGGTGCAGTAGCATCCAACTTCAAGCTACAGAATAATCCTGCTGATTACAAGGATGCTGCATTGCATTTTCCATTACCTTTGCCTCTGACTTGCTTTTTTAACCTTTCTGTAGGAGGCTCAGTTGCCTCAGAAACTTTTGATTCTCACATCTGAAGAGTAAAGGCTGCTTCTCCTCACCTATTATCACGTGTGGAGAAGGTTCTTTAAAAGCACATTGTCAAACTCACTCCAAACCTGCCAGTCCACGCCATCATCAATTTTCCCCTGCCATGACACGTTTATAGCACTGTGTCAGAACTATAAATTGAAGCAAGAAACCAAGAAAGCAGGTCTGGAACACCAAGTGTTCAGTCACTGTCTGAACAGTCCAGGTATCAAGAGGGTGATATTGGTTTGATTTTTTCTTACAACGGTTGACTAAGCCCCTCTGTCACCTTGCATTAGAAATATTAGTCATTCTGTGGCAATAAAAGAGCTTCAGCTTCTGATGCTCAAAAATTTTAGATCCATCAAACTATAATGTGTGAAAAGTTTCAATAATTTGAGAAATTCATCAACATTTATCAGCCTTAGTGCTAGACCTTTATGCAAGGCTCCCTACAGGTAGATTCTGTTGGTGAAAACGGTGCAGTTAGAAGCCTAAAAACTCAAAACCTGCACTTGTTCATATACATGATGGAACACAGCCTGGTTTTCCTGGATTTTCATTGCCCTGGCCCACATTACTCCCCAGAATTTGTCATTTTCAGGCAATGAAGAAATTGAATGAATAAGCAGCAGTTACAACACCCAAGCTCTGCTTGGTAATATTCTCCTTGGAAGAGATCAGGTGCAGCTTAGTACAACATTCACACACACTGTACGAACTCAGCATACAGCTGCTCAATTAAGATGGGAATTAGCTGCCTCCCGCTGTTATCTCCAGGCTGAGGAGAGACCTCACTACACCAACTACCCGCACACTCACAACAGCCTGAAAGCTTCCAATCAAAACAAAGAGGGGGAGAAGAAATATTAATACCACTGGTAAAACAAAGAGATTCAAATGAGGTCAACAAAAGCAACATGGTTAAAACAGATTTCAAATATTCCACCTCTCATTCCAAAGCCTTCAGCAACCAAAGCTCCTCTTCCCCTCAACTAAAGGATTAAACTCTGTGTAGCCTTGCGCAGCTCTTGGCACTTCACCGAGGTTGTTCATAGGTTTTCAATCACCTACATTTGACAAATATTTGGGAGCAGCAGCAAGTTTTTTTTTACACCCACCACAGTCAGAGGAAGCGCTTGTGCAGGGCTCTGACCCAACAGGAAGAGAGCAGAACACGCATCAAAGGCATTCCCTCCGCTTCCAAGCAAAAAAAAATACAAATATTTACTGCATGGACTCAATCAATAATCTTCTAACAGAGCTGTTAGGCCAGAAAGGGACAAATGTGCAACTATTTGTGTGGTAAACACTCAGACTGGCTTGGATATTAGACTACATTTGTTTTCTAGCAAAGATTTTTTGAAAACAAATTCCACTAGAATTGCACTGAGTTGGGTTTATTTTGTTTTGTTGTTTGTTTTTAATACTAAAAGGCTCTTTAAGATTCCATCATTTAAAAAACTAGCAATTAAAATCTATGTTGCTAGCAGAAAACTGCAGTGGAAGTTTGGAATATATTTTGTATTACCTCCATTTTTAACCCCATTAACCTTACCTAATGATCATATAGACCCAAACGATCACAGAAGCAAGGCGCTGAGTGATCTCATGTGGAAAGCAGCAGAATTAATCACGACAGCAGCTCTGTAAGAAGGTGGTAATTGCCTGAGATAAGTGAATGAGAACTGCTTTTATTGTCCTCATTGCCAAGAAACTTAGAAATGTATTTCTCATCGGGAGACTCTGAAAGTCACTCCTTAAAGGTATAAAGCCCCGATTTTTTTTTATTTTTTTTTTTTTATTTCTGACATTCCTGATGTTTCACCACAATGCTACAAGCTAACTTAATCGAAACAACATTGGAATATAAATGACAGTGAGCAACAGCTCTGGGAGATGCTGTAGCTCTAGTCAGGAAGAATTCATTACCTCGAGACATTTATTAAGCAAGGCAAAAAAAAAACCTGTTTGAAAAAGGCTGGCAAACATCATTAGAGAAACAAAAGAAAATTGCTTCACAGGCTTTTTTCCTAGTTCCATTGCCTTAGCTTACCTTTTTTTTCTCCCCAGTTGGTTGTTGAAGTCTTCCATTACTAGGTAATTATAAACAGTATAGCTGGAAGAGAGTCTAAGACACACAGTCTGACAATCCCAAGCCTTGAGATAGAAGCACACAACATTCTGAAAACAGATTACTTTCCCCACTAATATTCTTCATTTTTATGTGCAAACTTTACTTCCTCATAGCTTTCTACCCCCTAAATAACAGGTATTACCAAGCCATGTCTAAAGGTTACTCAAGGCACCAAAGGTGGGGTTGTGACTTGAGTTTCCTTATGTTTGTCAGGAAAATTTGAAGCATTTGGTTGGTTCTTGCTCTCCAAACTTCCTTGTTCATGCCCAAATACTGTAGACACAGAAAAATCCAAACCCCCAGCCAGCACTCCCACCAGTCTTCGGGACTGGTACACACCACCAGCTTTTAAGAGCTTCCCAAACATTTCATGACAGAGGGCAGATACATCTCAACATATAAGCAGGCAAAGAAAGTTATTTTTAAGTGTGTTTATAAATGAAGAAAGCAGAATACTGCTCTTGGTTTCCCCACTTCAAATCTGTAGTTAAACTTCATTGTGATCAGACACCCCTGACTGTTCGGGTTTTCAGTCCATTCATTGCAGTTATCCTGGTCTTCAGTATTTCTTGAGAAATATCCACACACAAAGCTGCTTAGATGGATAGAATATATGACAGCTTTCACCTAGGAACAACAGAGAAACAGTCCCAGTTTCACTGCTAACAGATGAAACCACCTTTTCTTTTCTTGGAAAGCACCTTCCTCTTTCTGCCAGAGCAGAGCACACACCATCAAGGTCAGTTACACCTGACAGCAACGAGGAGACCTACCTGCTACCGTGAGCCTCGCCGTCCTGCTGACAATGGTCCCCAGGCTTTCCACAGTCGCCACACACTGGTAATATCCTTCATCAGGTTTATTGTGCTTGGAATGCACCACACTGTTTATTAATAAAGATCCATCTGGCAGCAACTGGCGACGGTCATCTGACACCAAGTTGAGAAAAGCCCCATCTTTCTTCCATTCAATTTTTGGTGAGGTTTCACAATAAGCTGAACAGTTCATCACGACAGAAGCTCCACGAACTGACAGAACATCCGTTGGCTCCACCAAGAAGTAGAAAGGAGTGAAGGTTCTCACAAGGGATCCTGTAAAACACAGATCACATCACAAAGTTTTGGGGTTAGCCTTCTGCATGTTTTTTAGACACACAACGCATTCTCATTTCAAAATAAGGTGATGTGCACAGGAGCTGCCACCACTTGCAATTTCTGAACGTATTAGAAGTAGTTTGGGCTACACAACAGTATTTTTTTGCTTTGGCTGTTGACACCAGTGGACTCAAAGAGGTTTTCACCCCCAGAACACATTTGGCTGCTCATACAGCAATCAATATGGTTAATTGTCCTGAGCAACCCATTGAAGGCACAAGTCTGCCACAGAAGAACTTACACAAACCAACTTACACAGGTCTGCCACATCTATAACAAATGATAAATACTCTCTCAAGGCTCTCTGCTTGGCCTCCTGTGGCATGCTGTCATTTGTTGTCTATAACAAAATTAAGAAAAATTAAGAGGAATTTAGCCCCAAAGAGAACAAGTCTCCAATTCTGAGCTTAACACATCTTGCAAGTGACATAAACCACTTTTTTTACTTCCATTCTGGCTCAGGATACACATGATTACTTTTCTATTTTAAGTATTCCCCAAAGACTCCTATAATTAAAATCTACTTTTCATTAAGAAGTGAATTTTAATTACTCCATTTCTGGTGCATTTGGTCAAGCAGAAAGATTGTATGTCAGTATCACCAGGAGTTGTCTTAACTTAAGCATTTGTAGAAAACAGAAAGGAGACAAATACTTCCAGGGAAAAGCACTTTTTCAAACCAGCTAGATGAGGGTCAGGCTCTTCTCCCAAGGAAACAGCCTCAAATTGCCACAGGGAAGGTTGAGGCTGGAGCTGAGGAACATTTTCTTCCCCTTGAGGGTTGTCCAGGCCTGTGCCAGGCTGCCCAGGGCAGTGCTGGAGTCCCCATCCCTGGAGGGGTTTTCAAGACGTGGAGATGTGGTGCTGAGGGACATGGGTCAGTGGGGACCTGGCAGTGCTGGGTTAATGGTTGGACTTGATGACCTGAAAGGTCTCTTCCAACCCAAATGACTCTCTGATTCTATACTGTAAGAGCGTGTTTTGCCCTCTGCACACTTCTCAGGATCTGAAGGCAACTTGTACCACTTGTGTAAAGGCATTGCTAGGCAAAAGTTAAAAGGCATTCACAACAACAAAATCAGCTTTCTGCCACACACAAAACCCTTCAGAAAGGGTCAGAAAAATACTCATCTCCAAACTAATGTTTCATAGGAAGGTCAATAATGAAATGCTGAAGTATGTTAAAGACCACCTTGAAGAGGAAAAAGCATTTAATAACCAGATTTGTTTAACTAAATCACAGTCTGGGCTTTCAGAAAAAGTACAAATATGAAGGAGACCTTTCCACATACAGAAAGTCTGTCCTGTAAGCATTTTAGCTTCTTCAATGGCTTGGTTGTGTTGTTTGGTTTTGGTTTTTTTTGCTAAATCAGATTTGCTTTCTAAAATAGTCTTAATTAACAAATTTATATGATTCCCTCTATCACTGAGTTGCACAGAAAGCCTCTCATCTCCAAAGAGCCTCCAGCTTCCCCCTGGAGAGGGACTCCAGCTTCCCTGCACAAAGCCTATTGTCTTTGCTGCTCAGAATTCACAGAAATTTGAAGATAAGGCAGGAGTGGTGTGAAAGAAACAACAGATAAATGATGCTTTTGTAGGTTGTATCAAAGATTCTTCTACCTCCAAGAATTCAAAGGGGAAATAAAGTAGAGAAAGAGTCAAGTTTCCCCAGTGACAGGAACAGTCTCAACCTGGAGACGTGTTCTGCTGGTATCCAAATCCTTGAGATTATGTCTTTCCTGAGGGTACAAAAAAAAAAAGACCAAAAAAGGACTTCAGAACAAACGATGAAATTTCTAGGTGCTGCTTATGTTACGCTGGTTTGTAGAGTCATGCCTATGTGTGGAGGTATTTGATTCCCTGTGTGGAGTACCGAGGTTGTACCAAGCAACAAGAGTCATGAGCAGCATGAAAATACTTTATCCTGTTTATCAGCATCATCTCTTCCAGCAGTGCAGAAACCTAGAGGGCTTTTTTAAAATTCAGCATTCAGCTTTACTGCCCCTGAGTTCTCCAAGAGAAAGCATTCTGCCCAAACTATCAACTTGTTTTTCCCCCTGATTTAAAAGCTTCCCTAAGCTTTTTCAATATAGATCCAGACCTCAACCAGAATCAAATACAAATGCCCTTGAGTTTTCTTTTTCTCTGCTCTCCTCCTCTGACTTCTCAAATAAAACCGAGGAAAGCCTTGAAAAGGGGAGGCCGGAGTCTTGTTTGCCTTGTCTGGCCTCTGTGCAGATCAAAACCACTGATGGGCCAAGACTGTTCTTATCCTTGAAGCAACAAGGTGCCCAAGGACATCACGTTGCAGAGGATCTAAAGAGGAGAAACAGCAATGCTAAGGAGAAACAGCAGCACAGAGGGGGTTAGAGATGTTCAGAGAGAATGGGAAGCAGACTCCCAGCCAGGCTGCAGAGGCAGCATCAAAAAAAAAAAGCAACCTCTTGCCAAGAGCCCTGCAAAGACACAGCACAAAGCTTCAACTCAGGGTACCACCACACTCCTGCTGTGGAGAAAAACAATAAAAGGGTTCATAAATAACTACGTCCCATCTTGAAAAAAGTTAAACCAGAATTGACATCTTTCCAGCCCAGTCTCAGGAATGTTTTGCAATTCAGAGTCAGGGGCACTCTGGAGAAGAGCTGCTGGGCTGCATCCACACACCACAACACCAGCCCAATTGAGCTCATACCTCAAATTTCAGCCTCGACTCAGCACGGAAAGGCTTTGTATGCACAAGACCTCAAGAAACTTTTGTCAAGCAGCCATTTCTCCCACTCCATCAACCTACCCACCATTCAGGTTAATGACACCATGTTATTTAGAATAGATCTGGTGTATTTGGTGGAGGGAGTCCTCCTTTCAGGTACTTATCTTCGGCGGGTGATGGTGAACAAAAACAGGTATGCACACACCAGTGGCTCGATTTCTCTTAGTATCAGCTCAAGAACCTTACATAAAAGCAAAACAAGTTTGTCTTCCAGCTCAGAAACAGGCAGTTGAATCCTGTTCATTCCCAACAGATGTTTTTGGACTTTTTCCCCAAGATGTGCTCTTGAAGACCAGTGCTAGGGACCCAGCAACTCCCACAGGCATTCAGTTCTTGGGCTTCATACTCCATTTAATTTTAGGAGCTTCAGGCAGCATTGCTATGACTTCAGGACATCTTTTTGTCCCTGTAGGGATGGAGAATGGACTGTTCGTCTTTCCTCACAGTCTTCTACATATTTGAGGCCTTAAATCCTTTTGTAGCCTTTTCTTTAAGCTTAGCATTTCCAGTTTAGTAGTACTAAATTGTACTGAACTGCAGTCCCGAGAACATTGATCTGTAATCCCTTCCCTGCCGTAATCCCGAGATCCTCTTCTCGGAATCTGCTCTGAGGCTTGTTCTTTCCCATTTAATGTTTGACTAGCTGATTACCCCCTGCCTAACAGTATTAACTTTCACTTGGCTTCTCTAAAGTCTTCCTCCTTCCAAAAAAGTTGACCAATTTTGAACTCCAACCTTGCACTCCCTCTCCCAGCTTTAAGTCATGTGGAACAGATTTGTATTTCTATTACTATTCAGCAAATATAGAGCTTACCCTGTCATCCAGGCTGTGAGTGAAAGACGTTCAGGAGAAGTTTACTCAGAATACACAGGTACCAGACCCCACACAAAGCAGCCTTCAATATCGTTGTTTTCACTGCTTCTCTCCTCACTTACCATCCCTTTCCACAGCCATTCTGTCAGCTAAGACCGGGTTTCCCTGCCTCCTGAAAGGACAGTGAAGTCCTTTCAGCCCAGCCTTTGCTGAGGACAGCTGATCTCTTGTCCTTATAGTATTAGGATGAAGGACCATAAGCACATGCCTCTCCTCACTGGAAAAGGACCAAGAACACCACATGTGAGAGATGACAGTGGCTTCACAAAGTTAAGGGGAATCTGCTTGTGCTTCTCCTCACAGCATGCTTCCCCAAAGACCATGAAACAGCTTTTCAACTTAAAAGAAGCAAGTTTCAATAAAACACTCTCCAGCTACGGGAAATCTGAAAGCAGACAGGTAAGACAGAAAGAGCTCATCAGTCGCTCTTCCCAAATGCTGCTTCCCAATTCTCAAAGAATGCTACACCCCCGCAGAAAAAAGAATTCCAAGACTTCCATCCACTGTTGCCACCAAAACTATTTGGGAATGATGTTTTCCTGACAGTCATCAACTGCAGAGGACTTTAGTGCCAGAATTCACATCGCTTTAAAGAGGAAGCTGCATTCTATTTTACAAGTGCAATAACCATCCAGCAAGAAAACATCTAGTACAGGTATCATCTGAGACCTGCTTTTTTCCAAACACAATGCTAAATTAAGGCAACCTAACCCATCCTCCATCAAATGGGCCTGACTTTAGATGGGCAGTACACCAGGATTCAGTCATTAGGAGTCATACAGGGCTTCAGCAAAGAAAGATTACTTTTAAATGTTGAGGGAAGAGGTGTCAATAGGGGTGGATGATATCTGCCCTTTTAAGTTGGACTCCAAAGCAATTTAAGAGTGTGTGCATATATACATACACACACACACACATATATATATATATATATACACATAACATCCTTGAAAACTGACATTTGAAACAGAAGCATTTGACAAAACCCTAAACAGACTGGTAGGAATTATTATAAAGCCCCTTTGTATGTACTGAAAGTCAATGATAAAGGATCCAAGCTCTCTTGCTGCAGGACTGAACTTTTAAAAGGCTTTTCACCAGAATTTAATTAACATCCCCAATGGCCCTTGTAATCTTAAAACCAGTATGTCATGCCTTTCCTAACCTAGATCATTAAAAAAGCTGTCTTCAAAAATTAGCCAAACATATTTTAATTGAAGATGCTACGAACACTGTCCTTTCCAAGCTGCCAGAAGAGCTCACAGTGAACTTGTTTTGTGGTTTTGTTAAAAT